ACAGTGCCTGGCTGTGGCATAAAACATGTATATGGGGCATTTGTTTGCTACAGCCTTGTGTTGGCACAGTTCCTACAACACTACCCTCATGCATGCACGAACATGAGGACAAGGGTTTGTGCATGCTTCAACACATGTTGATGCTAACCACGTGGCATGTGGTGCAAATACCCATGTAGCATGACGCATGTAAGAACAGTTTGTAGCGTGTTTTGCTCATGCATTTCTTTGGTTTGCTGCAAACCAATGAAATGCATGGGCCAAACAGACTGCAGCTACTGCCTGATGCTGGCACTGGCCCACAGTGCCTGGCTGTGGCATGACATGTGTATGCACTACAGCTTTGTGTTAGCACAGTTTCTACAACATTACCCTCATGCATGCACGAACATGAGGACAAGGGTTTGCGCATGCTTCAACACATGTTGATGCTAACCACGTGGCATGTGGTGCAAATACCCATGCAACATGACGCATGTAAGAACAGTTTGTAGTGTGTTTTGCTCATGCATTTCTTTGGTTTGCTGCAAACCAATGAAATGCATGGGCCAACAGACTGCAGCTACTGCCTGATGCTGGCACTGGCCCACAGTGCCTGGCTGTGGCATGACCTGTGTATGCACTACGCTTTGTGTTAGCACAATTCCTGCAACATTACCCTCATGCATACACAAACATGAGGACAAAGGTTTGTGCATGCTTCAACACATGTTGATGCTATCCATGTGGCATGTGGTGCAATTACCATGTAGCATGACGCATGTAAGAACAGATTGTAGTGTGTTTTGCTCATGCATTTCTTTGGTTTGCTGCAAACCAATGAAATGCATAGGCCAAACAGACTACAGCCACTGCTTGATACTGGCGCTGGCCCCCCAATGCATGGCTGTGGCATAACATGTATATGGAATATCGATGCAGCCATGTACTGGCAGAATTCCCGAAACCTTGCCTGCATGGCCCAAAATTAGAATACCACTTGCTTATGCATAGTATACCACTTCCAATGCAGATGGTTTCAGTCTGCCTGGGGAGGGGAGCCGTCGTTGAAAGCCTTCGCCAGTTGCTTCACCCAAATGGAACAGCGGAGACCGCTTCTCTGAAAAAGATGTTATGCACGCGGACTCCCGTAAGGGGTCCCCCCAAAGGAGATTCCGCTCGTTGATTGAACCTTGCTGTCCCCAACTTGCCCATGATTCGCTGGACCTGGAACCGACCGAAATCCTTTTTTTTTTGTCCCTTTGTCCCCCCATTTCAGAGGCAACTGCAAAGGTGATCTCCGGTTGGGCAAAAGATGGCGCAAATTTGCCACACGAAAAAGGAGGTTCACTTGAAGTGGGCCCAAAGGTGATCTCCGGTTGGGTGAACGATGGCATGCCACGCCAGCAATTCTGAGGCGGCATCCTGGCGCGGGCCAAAGTGCAGCAGTTGCGGGCCTCCCGCGCGAGGGCCTCCAACCAGGCACGGGTCAGGGCGGTCCCGGGTCCCAGTTTTCAGGGCATTGGGGTGGTCCGAAAGAGAAACCAGAGGAAGCCATGTGTCCATAGTTCGGTGGTTTCTCGTTCGTTTTTGTTTTTCAATCTGGGGTTTAAGTGGTTCCTCATGGGTTCTGCGAAAATCGATCTGCCAGAGTTCAGTGATATCGCACGGCCGGAGAAGGAACATGGGATCCCCCTCCCATTGTGAATAGCCCAGCGCCCCTTGTAGGCTCACCAAACTGGTCGACCACACAAAAGCCCCCCTTTGATTTAGTGCAAACGGAAAGTGGCAACCGATCTTTGGTCTTTATCAGGTGAGCTTCCCGTTTGCGATTACTTGCCCATCTTTTCCTCCACAACGTGTATCTAACTTTCCAGACATCACCATCATGTTCTTCGGTTTGCTTAAGAATATTGTTTTGATTTTCCTGTATTGGTTTAAATGGGAATCTATCACGCTTAAGCAAATGGAAGGTTTGTCGGGCGGAAACGGAACTTTTTCGTTTGCACGTCAAAGAGGCTATGGCACGGTGAGTTCTCAGATGGCTCGCTTTGAAGTTGTACTGTCATTTAGGGTATGGGTCAAAATTAAACCACCAGGGGACCGCAGGTTTTAGTCCATGTTTCCATTTACCATGGGTTCCATTTTGGGCACGTATTTTTGACCCACAGCCATTCGGTCAGACAACTTGAAGAGGATACACTGACGGCTCTGCTCAAACATGACTTCCCCAATCTATGGAGTTAGATGCTGAACTCCTTGCTTGCACATGGGCGATCTGTGTTGAGCACCTTGTCGCAGGCAGTGCCACTTGCCCAGTGGGCTGCTTTGGTTGCTCCAATCTGGGTTGCTCAGGAATATTTGCCCTGCGTAGAGGAGGCGAGCTATGCACAGCACAAAGAAGCTTGCCCCTGGTCAGGGAGTCAAAAAGCCTCAATGTTGAATTGCGGACAACATATGCGAAGCGGCAGGTAGGGATATAAAAAACAAAACAGCATGTCATCCATCACTGGTGCGTTTTGTGGATGTTGTGGCCGCAGGTCCTCGTGACAAAAGGAAAGCAACTCGGGGTTGGAGCAACATAAGGTCAGGTAGCCTTGGGCGACCGCATTCATTCATGTTTCCTGGGGTCGCCTTGGTGATTCGGGCATGATTCACCCTCCCTCGGTCTGGAGGCATGGCTGTGGCTCGACATTGAGAGCCAGGGTATCTCAGGTTTTAGTCTACTTCCCATTTGCCAGAGTTCCACTTTGGACCCCTATTGTTGAGCCACGCCCACATGGAAAGATGTTCGGTCTCTGCCAAAAGCACCTCCCACAATGCGTCCCCTCCGTTGCTCAAAGCGTCGGTCGCCTTTGCTCCAGGTGGCAGCAGCCCCCAGACCGGTCAAGGCAGAACATGGGAGTGTCGGAGTGGGGCGAAATTGATTTGAAAGACCAACGCGCCGTAGAAAGGCGATTTTAGGTAGAAGTGTTCATGTGACAAAGCTCCGCAAGAAGCAGAGGTTGGTGGACAGAAGTCCCATGAAAACGATCTACACCGAAGGGCCCCCAGTCAAAATTTGAGCCCATTTGATAAGTCGGCTGCCCAACGCCGACCCACGTTGGTCCATCTTCAATCGAGGTCCCAAGACGCGACGCTTCTTTTTTGAGGTCTCTGGGACAGGGAGATCAACCCAAGGCAGCGTCAATTACATATCTCTCTCGGGAAATAAGATCTTTTTCCCCCTTGAAACCACCACTTCAGAGGATTGGGATATGGAGGACCGAACGCACGGCGCAGGCTTCCTGGATCCAATGGGACAGCCCACGAGATGAGAAAGAAAACATAATAAACCCCTACAATCAGCAGGGAACCCAACTCCCCAAAGGAGTTGTCTTCACAAATGGTGGTTTTTATGGTTCCATGTCTTGACTGCTACTGGGTTGGATCCTTAGACTTTAACTTTGTGGGAAATCAAGGGGTTTTCCACTGAACCCCCAAAAAGTTAGACTTTTTGCAGGGGGGTCAACAGCAACCAAGATGTTATTCTGTAGGGGAGTACTTCAATTTGTCCATTTGGGGCCATGTCCAACCATGGTTTTGCAGAACACCACTTGGGATCTTCCCACTGATCCTTGGATCAGAATCCCAAAGGTGTTTGGAAGCGGAGATTTGATCATGTTCCCATGTCCAGCATGGCACCCCAGAAAAATGCTGAGGGACGGGACTCCCTCCACAAATATCTCAAAGAACTCCCACCTGGAAGGATTTTGTTGCTCAACAAGCTGTTTGGTTAGGTAGTTGGGTCCTTACCCGCCTTGCAAGTCCACCTGAACGGGGAGAGGGGGGCCATTGCTTGGGATTCCGAGTTGCAGTTGGTATGGGTCACTGGTGGTTTTTGCATTCAACGCGCACCTCTGCAGCTTTGCGAGTGCACTCCACACAACGATGCCTTGCTGTCTGCCTTGTTTAAGTAAACACCCAATGTATGTGACGAAGAAGAAAAAAAACATAGAACCCAGATAGCGAGAAACCAGGCCGATAACTGCACACCAGCACCTCTAACACTGTCCGAAGAGCGAAACAGAACCCCCAGAGCACCCGGCCGTCATTCTTGCAAGAAATCGCCCAGCACCCCACACTGCAACCTGCCGCCAATCTCGCAAAAACGTCACCACCTGCGCCAGCACCCCAAACTTCGTGTCCCCCAGAACCCCTGCCGTCAATTTCGCAAACACGCGCCCACGCCTGACACAAGCCCACCCCCCAAACAGCACCTGCACCAGCACCACAGACTGCATGCCGCTTAGCACCCAACCGTCAATCTCGCAAATCACTTTCCCCTCTTCATAAGAAGTTAAAACCCCTATAGCTTTCAGCTATCTGGGGAAAACCAAAACAAATAATACCTCAGACTAAGATGAAGCTCTTCCATGCAGATTGGAGAGCAGGCCAGGTGGCACCGTGGGCAGTTTGGAGCCGTGGCTTGCAACAGCCGGGGCAACGCGGCAACACTTGGCTCAAAGTTTGGTCGGCAAAGGGCGCAAATCAAATGAGGCTGTCTCAGACTCGGAGTCGGACCACCCCAAAATGTATGTCAGTTGTCTTTGTTGTTGCTCCTTTGAGACATCCAAAACAGAACCCGAAATAGCCGCCATTGGCTCCACATTGTAGCTGATCTTGCTGTCGCTCAAAGCGGCACCGTGACAAGGCATGCTAGCGCCCAATGGTGAGCAAAGTAATCGCCTGGTTCGTGCGGGGAGTCCCGCCCATTTGAATTTGGAGACTCATCACTTTGCTTCCCATGGCTGGAATCACACTGGTTTTGTTTGAAGCCAAAAGGGAGCCCCTTTGTGTAGGAGCAAAGCATCTTCTAGCGCGTCCCTTTGCATGTTCGACCAACACCTCGGTTTTCTACGGGTTCCCCCCCCAACTGTTGAACTATCATTGCATGTGGGCATGTCTCTTTTTTTGGGTAACCCCCTACTGGTTGGCTTTAAAAGGGAAACCAAACGGAAAACCACCACTTGAGGGCATCCCTAAAGAAAGGCAGACCCATGTCGAGCTGGCCGAATGGATGCGCCGCAGCCTCCTAGCTTGGGCATTCTGCGCTGCCGCCGCGGCCTGTAGCAGCCCCCCGCAGCTGTGGAGGCGCGGCTTTGCGGGGTTTTCAGGGCATCTAAAAATGAGGAACCACCATGGCGAATTTCTCTTGGGTTTCCCATGAAAGCAATATATGATAGAGATATGACGGTAGAGGTCCCTGAATTCTGTGTCCACAAGCTTGAGGCTGCCATGATTTGTTGGTATGGAATCAACTCAAAAGTGGTTGGTGGACATCATTTAGCTAAACAAAATCCGCTAACTACAATTCATGCCCGTATGGCGATTTTCCCATGGGTTTTCTTTAAGGCACACTCCAAAGAATGTTGCCTTCAAACATGATCCCAGTTTTGAGGAGCAACCCCCATGGCGCAGAGTTTCCGATCTTTGTAGGGGAAATCAACTCTGTGTTCAGGTCTATCTTGGAGTTTACCCAATAAAAATGGATTTCAGCCTGTGAATTCCTTCGGTCTTCTTGAAACCATCGTAACCCCGATTCCTTTTGAGTTTGGTGCACTGTTTCCTAAGGTTCTAGGGATACCTTCCCCATGCTTTGCAGGGATCCTTCTTTTCAGGAAACCAGCAAAAACCCGGGAGCCGGTTTTTGACAAGAACGATGGTTGAAAAGAATGGGGAATCACCCCCTAGAAAGGTAAGCAAATGTTGGACACTCCCGGCTGAGTTACACAGCACAGTTGTTCAGTGGATTTCACCCTTTTTCCGTGTTTGCTTTGTGGGTGTCTGACTAGAAACGGAATCAACCCCACAGTTTCCCGCGTCTTCTGTTGGGGCGGGGAAAAAGCGATGCCACAGCAGTGTTCGACTGTCTTTGCTCGTGCTGGCACCAACACTTGTCATCGGGACAGATTCGGGGCCAGAAGGCCATCAGACCCATAGTGACCTTTTAAGGTTGGTTTGCTTCGAAACATGTCACCTATGCTCAAAACCCTTCTATTAGCCCTCAAGGTTCTAAGAAGGCCTCCTGGGGAGACCCCTAGGTTCCTCGTTGCCGGACATGCTTTTGAAGAAGCGTCCAGATGCAACCTGAGTAGTTCCGAAACGAATGCAATGCACGGGGTTTCTGAACATGACCATAAAGAATGCGGTGGTGACCACAATGCTAATGTTGGCATGTGACTTAATATGAGAAAGATTCGGCAGGAAGCGATGCAATGCCAGTAATTAGTTTCTTCATGTGTGAGTGCATAGTTGAAACTAATGATGTGAGTATGATGATGATGTTTCTCTCAACATGTGTTAGAATATGAATTGTGCTTCAATATTAGGTCGGGCAACTCTTAATAGTGTCTACACAGAGCGGTGGCATATGCATGGCCGCCGCTGGAACGTCGGAATCTGCATAGTTTCTGAATCGAGCAGTGGCAGCCGGGTGCCTTACAGTGGTTGCATTTTGGGGTTCTCAATATTGCTTCTGGTCGCACTTCTGAAGGCCCCTTTAAACCACAATTCAGAATTCACAGGGTCATTTTGAGGACCCCACCTGCGCCCAGTTTCACAGGCACTGGGGATGTCATCGCTGGGACTGCGGAGACCTCGTCAGCACTGAGGCAGATCGTCCGTGCTAAAACGGGTGTGGGTCAAAAATGGGTAGCCACAATGGAGCCCTGGGAAGTAACACCTCTGCGTTCTCTTGGTGGTTCCACTTTGTCCGATCCAATGAGCCGTAATCAAAACCTGGGTGGATGAAGGGAACGACAGTTGCCATAAAATGGTTCAGCCGGTCTTTTGATTGCGGCAGCGGGTCGACCACTTTACTACGATTGTATCTCGAACGAGCAATAATGTAGAGGGAGATGGGTTCACGCATAACTTACGGAAGGCCGTTTTGTAGAATATGGAATTCACATTTTTCCCCTTGGTGCCTGGATGATCATGTGTAACCAGGGGGGCTTAAGATTTCCAGTGGTCGGGATACAATGAATGAATCCTCAATGCTTGAAAGAAACCCAAAGCCAGGGACATGTCTGTAGGTGGGCCCCTTGATTGTTCCAACCAAAAGCTGAAGTCTGAATCAACGCCACCCAGCTGGACCTATAGGGGTGAGGTCGGCTGTTCGCAATTCGAGCCCGCAGAGTTTTGGCCACAAATTTGGAATGCGTTGGCTTTGGCTTGTTCTTCTGACGGGTCCTGAAGAGGCTCCGACCTGCTGGCTTACACTGCGGAAGTCCAGGTTTGAAACAGTTCCTTTGGGGCAGCCACTGCCAAAAGAATGCACAAAATACCCTCCTTCCTGCCAACAGAGATCCTGAGCCCAGTTTGGACCGGTGGCGTCTCAAAAGGGCCTTCTGTCAAGTTCCATGTCAAGCGGGAGAGTAGCTGTTGTGGAAACTGTGGGATTGTCCAAGAGGTGACCAATATGTTTCTCGTTACAGAAAGAGATTGCAGACGCATTGTGTTGTTGGGGAGGTTGAGGTTCGCTTGTTGCGCAGGGTCCATATACGGGGGTGGGACGTGGGGGGACGAGATGTGCAATTCAACCACAAAAAGGTGCACATAGTTTGACTATGGCTCATATTGATGATGTTCTATGGATCCGAATGTATCACGAGATCCCAGCCCCAGCGCCCTCTGGTTTCCCAAAGTATTTCCTGGTGTTATTGATTAGTTTCACTGGTTTGGGGAAGGGTGGGTTGGGATCGTATGGGAATGGTTGGGGTGCATCCGAAAGGGGTTCTGGACACTTTGGCCCTAGCTCATATGTTGTTTTTTTTGTCCCAAAGAAGCACCAAGAAGGAATGGTGTCTTGGGTTTCCCTCAATCATGGGGGCTGTCCCCCCCTCCCCCCCCCCTTTTGGCTTGTTGAGATTCCGGGGCTGATGTCCCAAAGTTGCGGCTTCGACTCCAGGGCTGCGAGAACACCTCCAGCGCCTTGTGCTCAAGCTTTACCTGTGGCCAAGGCGCGAACTCGCTCGCGAACTCGGAACTCGGAACTCGTCGCTCGCCTCCCCTTTTTTTTAGAATTTTAGCTCCCATTTGCAGCTCGCGATGTGTTTTTGTCCCATTAAGAGACTTCCCAAATGGGCCCTGGAAATGTGGAAGAGCTGGGTTGAGAATGTGTTATTTCTTTGGGCCGGTACCAACACCGTTTGCTCTGAACACATTATGTGGACCAAAGTGGCAACCTACTTTTTCCAGTTGAACGGACATCTGCTTTGCCGTGCGTTTAGGCACTGAAACCCATATTTGCTTTCTTTCCAGCCGCCAGCATTTGTTTCTGCTACTAAAAAGTGCTTCTGCCAGCCAAGTTATTCCCTTTTTTTGGGGGCTTGGCTAGCCCCCCTTCCCCCCTTCCCCTCACAGACAACCTTCCTGAATCATCGTTTGGTACCACCTTTGCACTTAAACAGCTGATGGTTCACAAGATGTCAAACCACGTTGACCAGGCTCCCATCCTTTCCTTTACCATGCCTGGAAAAAAAATCCCCTACAAATTCACATGAAACCCAAACAGGTTCCCCCAAATGGGCCCCATGATTCCTCTAAAAGCTGGCCCCAAGTTGGACTCCAGATATTCATGGGACCCCCAAAAGCCACCATGTGTCGAGAAAACTCCGTGGCGGGTGTTCGATGTTCCATTTGGGGAGTAACCCCCAAACAGCACCAACAGAGGAAGCTCCGGATTGTTGGGTTCTATATGGCTGTGGGTCAAAACCAATGGTACCATTTTTGGGGAGGTGAATTCACCCATTTTAGATCCGATTTTAGTGGGGATTGGGATGTTCACTGCAGTTACGGGATTTTGACCCATGGCCGTGTAATGTCTCGCTTCTCTTTTGGAATCTATTTTAGTGGTTGGATTGGGCTGTTCACTGGGGGTACGATTTGGATTTTGGCCCATGGCCATATGAATTTGGGGACCTGCCATGACCCCCTGCCGGCAGTTTGCTCAGTCGGCCGCTAGGTCCGGACCTGGAGCCTCGGGGCGCCTTCGCCTGCCGCTGGGCGTGAATGCTTCGGGCGCTCGCAGAACCCAGGGAGATATATCAGCCCTTGGCTGATTGACTTCGGGGGGATGTCCCCTCGGATTTATGAGGGGTTCATCACTTTTGGAGGGCACTCCCTCCTATAAACAACAAGAATGGTTGTTTTTTCATAATCTGGGGTCAACATTTGTGGGAAAGCAGGGGGGGGGAGTTCGGGCCACTTTGTGCAATACCAAGGGATATCAAGGGATTTCACTGTATAGATCATGACGGTGGAAGAAATTCTGCACCAGTTGTCGTGGCGTGAAGCCCTATGCGTGCTGAGGCAAACCACTTGCCAACTGGCGCGAGGTGTTGGAAGCATCAGCCATGAAGTGCTTCCACCTTGATGACGGGGTCGACTTCCGGGGGAGTTTGTGGGGAATCAGCAGGCAGCGACTGGTCAGCGAAAGAGTGGACCATTCCCAACCTGCCAACATGAGGATGTCCCTCAAATAGGTCGGTGGAACAGAAGTGATCATCTCCTACGACCACATGTCGATGGTTTCTTGGGGGTTCCGGGGGTTTTAGGGGTTCCGGGGGTTCTAGGGGGTTCCTGGGGGTTCCTGGGGGTTCCTGGGGAGTCTGACAGAAACCCTCAGAAAACCCTTGCATTGGCCATTGTTGTGGATTTCATGAGGGAAGATTCCACCACTGCCTGACTGCCTGACTGGGTGTCCTGAAATATCATTGTGTTTGAAGCGAGCCGGTAGTTGCGGACCCTCTCTTGGTTGGTGAGGCTCTTTAGGAGAAGGCAGCATGTCAAGTGTTTGCAAGTTGCATGAACATCCCATGCACGACAGGTGCACTACTAATAGTATATCCCGAGTGCTTGGTTAAGATACCCTGGCAATGTTGCTCGACATGCAAGCAAACACATATAAGTGGCTTGTTTGAAGCACGTAGGGCGATTTGCCTTTGTTTTGGGTCGCAGAAACGTTTTTCCGGCTGCGTTTTCCTAGGCATTGGAGGTTCCTGGGCCGACGTGCTTCCGCTCTGCGTGGGCTCAACCTATCCGGGCTCGCCGGGAGGCGAACCGCGAAGCAACTGGGAGCCTCGTTTCGGATGGTTCCAAAAGGAAAGCCCAAAAAGAATCGACTTACAGCCTGCGTTTGTTTCTGCGTGTGTGTGTGTGTGTGTGTGTGTGTGTGTGTGTGTGTGTGTGTGTGTGTGTGTGTGTGTGTGTGTGTGTGTGTGTGTGTGTGTGTGTGTGTGTGTGTGTGTGTGTGTGTGTGTGTGTGTGTGTGTGTGTGTGTGTGTGTGTGTGTGTGTGTGTGTGTGTGTGTGTGTGTGTGTGTGTGTGTGTGTGTGTGTGTGTGTGTGTGTGTGTGTGTGTTTGTGTGTGTGTGTGTGTCATTCTTTGTTGTTATTTTTTGTGTGTGTTAATTTAACATTTGTGTGTGTATGTTTTTGTGTGGGTCCATGTGTGTTTCTGAGTTTATGTGTGTTGGCTTTTGTTTGCTTAGAGGCAGCCAGGCGAGCCGCCAGAGGCCGTTTCACACACTTATCAAAGCACCAACGCACGCAGGGCGGCAGTTGGATATACAGGCTTCGGACCCCCGGTTTTACGCTGGCCTGCGATGTTTGGAAAATGGATCCAACAAGGGATCCATAGTCAAAGCACTTGCAACGTAGCCGGGTCAGAGCCGGCGGAGTGCGGCTTCTTCAAATGCAAAACTGATAGGGCGGCCGAATCGAGAATGACCAAGGATCACAAGAAGGATAGATGAGGAAGACACGGATACCTGTTAAATGGACGGTCGATGACGTTCTTTGTTCGTCAACCGGCCGAGCCATACCAAGAGAGCATCAACTGAAGGAACCGACCACACGTGCAGATGGCCCATGCCATGTTGCAGGCAAACATGTCTAGGTCCCCCAGTAGTGCCCTTGTACGTTTCTTTTTTGGGGGAGGGTTCCCCTACTAAAATGGACTACATGAGAAAAGGGTACCCTTATTCTATCCTCTCTACTGGAGGACATAGATGTTTATTTTGTTCTGGGAATGGGCACCCGGGCGGCCGGGGGGGTCCCTTTTTGGTGGTGATGAATCACTTTTGGAGGGAACACCGTCGGGACCGTCTTAGCAGGAGGGGTGTATGAATGCGCGGTCAACATTATGTGCCGTAGGGCGGATGTGTTGACATACCAGAGTTGAACATGTCTCTTCACATGTCAAAAAGTGTCGATAGAAGTGTTTGGCCTTTTGTGTGTTATTTGTTGTCAATATGATTGAGTCAACGATGGTATAGCAAGGGGGGCAACCTTTATATGCCCACCTCCTTTGCTTGCAAGTGAGCAAACACTGTCGCAAACAAACAACGAGGGGGGAACACAAAATCAGGAAGGTTGCATATAGTTGCCTAGGTTGCTGGAAGTGTGTTCTTGTTGGTTTGAGTTTTGGTTCTGTCGATTTTTAGTGCATGCAGGGACATTAGCCGAGAAAGGCTCTCAAACCACGTCTAAGAACCCAGCCAAGAACGGTCTACAGTGCGGCTTCACTGCAAAGGACATTCAGTTTGCTTTCTGACGGACCAGTAATTGGGAAGTTATTGGAATACCGTTGTAGGCTTCCGGACATGGTTGCCATAGGATTGGCGGAAAAAGCACCGCAAAAGACGTGCCATTCGCATACAGGAAGTTATTGGGCATTGCCGTGGGTCCTTTCGATTTGGGCCAGCGTCAGGATTGTGTGTTTGGCTTCGAATGCAAACCAAGAGGTAACCCACTGAGATATTGTGTGCTTTGCTTACTACGAAACCCATTTAACCAGAAGACCCACAAATCTGTGTGTGTGTGTCTGCGTTTGTGCGTTTGTGCGTTTGTGTGTATGTCTTTGTTTTGATGGCATCATGTACAGCTTGGTTCAAAATCAGTTGTTTTGCTTTGGGGGGAGGGTGTCCTCCTATTTTCACACATCCCCAAACCCTTCTGTCCACGCGGCCATGCCATGCGTAGCGTCCGCCGCGCTTCGCGGAGGCAACTGGCATCGGAACTACACGGTGCGTGCCGTGCTCTTTCGGCTTCGCCTGTCTGGGCTCCCAGTTGGAGTTTTCTAACCGCGCGCCGCAGGCGGTTTTCCCGGTTTGTTGGGGGTGGGTGTCTGCTCGGACTGGCGTGTCTTGCTTTGCTGTTTTGTTTTTTGTTGTTGTTTTCAAGTGAGGGGGGGGGGCCTTGGTTTTCTTTTGGCGGGGAAGCCTTGTTTTGGTTGGATTCAGAGGAAAACCAAAGGGAGGCAGCCCAATTTGAGGGTTCCTCACGTGAAGACAAACCCAAATCAAGTAACCAAACAAACGTGTCTCTCTGGTTTCCTTGAAAGCATCCACGCAAAAGGATAGCCGCAAGGTTCCCCAACTAAAAACTGTCGGTTCTCAGCGGAATCAACGGAGGGGCTGGAAAGGATCTGAAAGGAAGTAACGGATGGTGGAAAGGGGTCATTTCCGAAATTTCCTTGCTGGAAACTAGCAAGAGAAGCAAGCAACCAGAAAAAGTCGTCCTTGTTCCTCATTTTTGGGGGATGCCTGCGAAATGGGTTGATCGTAGAAATCGTAAACACAACCCAGTGTGCGGCGACAGACACAAGAAAAGAACCCATGGTACTTCCCCTGACGAAGGCCCGGTGCAAACTTGGGAGCTTGCTTCTGGAAGCTTGAGTGCGGTTCAAAATCGGTGCCTTTGGTTTATCTGTTCAACCCAAACAGGATACCCTCAATGATCTGTTGAATGCTTGAGCCATGCTTCTTCAACTTGTCGCATAATTTAGCATTTAAGTGTTTTAAGCAGCCTAGGTGAATTGTCTAGGTCTCAACCACAAGTTCGACTGTTTCGCAAGAGTGTAGGAAAACATGGTAAAGGCTGGGACCTTTGCAATTATAAACGACAGAAGAGCTGAAAGCCAAGCTCGCCCAACCTTTTTGGCAATTTGGCTAGGGGATACGGCTTTCCAAGCGCTACCTGGGTTTGCCCGTGCTTCCTCGAAACACCATAGAAAGGTGGGTCCCTTTGGGTTTGCCTCCAAGTTGCAACAACATGTGGTTTACCGAGCTTCGCAAACCGGACCCCGATTCAACTTGGAGGTGCCCCCCGCGTACTTGTTGTCATGATGTCCTTTCAAAACCACCTCAGAGGCCTAGAGCAACCCAGCCCCTGCGTTTTTTCTTTGATATTGTTTCTGAAACTCGGGCAGAACAAGAAGTGTCATGACAGTACTAGTTTTCCACGGCCACTGATCGAGGCGACCCACTAAAATGATCGACCCCGCTTGGCTTCGGCACATGTGAAGGTCCTGGATCCCAGCGTCGCCGTACCAGCCCGAGCTGTGCTCCGGCAGGAGCCGAAGTTGAGTGCTGTCAGTGTGATGAAAATCTTCAGAATCTGGGCGCCCGCTTTTGCTTTCTCCTTTAGCCCAAACTTTGGGGTAAGAATTCGATCCGCGATTCCTTCCAACCTTTGGGGTTCCTTTTGGAAGGTCCAGCTGAGCCTTGCACGGGTGCGGGTGAGCCGATAGGCGGGATCCTCAACGAAATTACACACCCGGTGCCTCAGGCTTGGTATTCAGATTTTTTGGGGGGCACAACGTGCCACACCATGAGTTGCTTTTGGGGTGTCAGAAGGACATAGTTAAGGGAGGTCCCAAATATTCTGCTGCAAGACTCCCTTTTCACAGAAAACTACTTCTTCAGTCTGGGAGCAAATATTTTCTGGCTCCAGGTGTTTGGGGGCGGAATGGTTTTTGCAAGGTCCCTCTGTTTTGCAAACGGCTGTTGTTTGCCAATCAAACAATGTGTTCTGCTGTTCGCAACAGTTCTTGAATATTCACAAAGTGCTCCAACCACGTCGTTGGCAGCAGCACCGTGGGCTTTCCTGCAACCAAGAGGGTGTTTGTTTGTCATTGTTTTCTTTTTCAGCTTTCTGGTTCGGGTTTAGGATGACCTCCTTTCCGGCTCGGTTGTGAAGGGGACCGGGACCAGAGTCAAAAGGCAATAAAGTTTGGTCCCTTCAACACTCGCAAAAGGCGGCGGTTTGGAGAAGCAAGAGAAATCCTTTTGTGTTTCACCGCCTTTTCCAGCTTGAAAGGTTGCAGTGAATCATGCGGGCGCTCGGATCAACAGCAGACGTATAGTCAGGGGTCCCTCCATTTCCCTTCTTGAACCTCCGAGGATGGCAATCCCAATGGAGCCGCTCATTTTTGAATCGATCAACTTGAGAGGACAGCAGTGAGCCCAGTACCTCAGAGGGTGCGTGTACCCCTTGAGGATGGTTTCTTGAGGGAAGGGCTTTGACTTTGGTTTTCATAAAACAGGCGCTCTCCTGGGTCCAGGCTAGTTGCATGCTTGATGAGTTTGGGTCGCCTGCTTCTGCCGGCGTGTTGTTCGGCTCCAGCTGCCACTTTTGAACATGGCGCGCTCTGAGCCAACAGGGTGGGGATATTTGACAAGCTCTGAGGCCAAATGAGCTTGCCTCACCCACTATGAAGGTCCTTCAAACCTGGGGAGGCGTCCCTTGCTTTGGAAATGACACCTGCCCGAAAGAGCAGGATTCTTCCTGGAGGTATGCCAAACTGCCAGTTGTTCAATAGAACCCTTTTGGTGGGTTCGGCACCCTCTAAACTAGAATCAAGTCCAAACAACATGCTTGCAATTTGTTGTTGTTGTTTCTTCCGGACACTGGTCGCAGCTGGGCACTTGTCCCACAAAAGGAGCCCTGAGTGAGCCCAGGATTCCGTAGAGTTGCTGCCGAGTGGATTTTGCAGCTTCCGATGGCCGGCCAAAGCCTTGTGCCGAAGGGAGCCAAAGCAACCAGCTGGCAGTCAGCTGAGTCCATCCGTTTGGTCGGCTGCAGATACAAACATCATTTGTGGAGGAACTATCTTTTGGGGGATCCGCTTTTTAGGTTTCATGTTACTGGGGTCTCCTCCAATACAATTTAACAAGGTAGGGTGGACTAAGTGTAGAACAGGCTTACAATATATTTTTTGGAGTACCCTGGGTCTGAAAACAAATTAGTGTTTGTGGTCGATGACGTATGTAAGCGCGTTGTTGGCTGTAACAAACCCACACTTTTGCGGGTCCGTGCTTCTGTTTTTTCCCATAGTAAGGCAATCGTACAACATCGTACAGGTCCCTATCTTCGATTGGCAACCTATTCGAGCAGCGGACAGTATTGCAATCTTCCTATCAGTCTTGCAGTTTCAAGGGCATCCGTTTTTGGTGCTGCCCTATCAGTTTATTGTGATAACGATGTCAGCTCCAAATATAGCTCATGACCCATAGATCATTACTGTAGCTCGAACCATCCACGAAGTTGCTTCATCTGGGATCGACATGATATGCCTTCGTAGCTCATATTGGTAGGAGCGGTTTGATGGCTGTCTTTTTCAAGATCACATGTGTTCGGGGCAATTCCACCATCTAAATCCCTTTTGCTTGGTAGGTTCCCCCGCAACTGGTCAACCCCCAAGCCCCAGACTTCGAGGTATGCATCGTCGGCGGTGGTACCACGGGAATCCTCGCTGCCAAGAACACCATCGAAGCAGGCCCGTCGTTGATCTAGGCAATGCCTATCAAATTCTGAGACTCGCCAATAAGAATTGCTCAATTTCTGAGTGTCAGGTTATATACTGTAACCTATTATTGCTATGTTTTTGGGCAACTGGGTTGCCACGAACCCTGTTGGCAGTTGGTTCCGCCTGGAATGTTTCATTGCTGTTGTTTTTGGTTGTTTGTTTTCAAGGAACCCGGTCGTGTTGGAAAGGCCCACGGGTTTCACTGGGGATGACTTGATGCCAGGCCTCATCCCCACGGTCTTCGAGCGCAGTTGGCGCGTGGGGGGCGTGTGGCGCCTGGACGATGCGCCGAGGCGTGTGGCCTATGAGTCCCTGCGCCCTGGCGGCTCACTTGTTTGGAGGGTCTTTTTTTCTTTTTGCCGTGTTTCCTTGTTGTGTGTTGTTTTTGGGGTTGTTGATTTGTTGTTCTTTGGTTTGTTTGTTATTTTTTTATTCATTTATTTATTTAGTTTGGGGGGGCTGTTGAAAGCAGAAGGGAATCACCCAATTGAATGGGGTTCCCTGTTTAGAGACGCTCACTTCCCGAGTTGGCGCACTTTAGTCACTCCTTGTCAATATCATTTCGGTGGGAAATGACAAGCAGCCACTTTTTGTAACCAATCTACTCAAGAAGTGAGAAGGTGAGGCCCGCTTTTTCTTTTTTGTTTTGGCCTTTCCTCGAGGCTTGAGAGTCAGCCAAGTAAAGGAAGAAAAAGACGAAGAACCCGAGCACGAATTCACACTTTTAAGTATGAGGGAGGAACCACGTGCTGTTGCCTGAGCAAACCATGGTAAATATGTCAATGTACACTTTATTTGGGCAATCTTTTAGCAACCTCACAAGGGGGTGTGCGACCTCACCCTCCTTGGGTTTCTGGATTTCAGTGTGTTTGAATCATAGACATGTGCCCAACTTCAAATTATTTGGCCCTGAGTTCTTCAAGCGTACGCCAAGAAAAACACGGCATGACTTTGACTTCGAATTCGTTTGGGGAACACGCTGGGGAGGGGGGGGGAGAATGGCAACACTGTATGTTTATATTTGACCTCCTTTTGCATGTGTTGCCACACTATTTTTGTGAGCAGCCCTATACAGCAGGTCTTAGAACACAAGCAAAGAGAGCAGCTTTCTGATCCACCCTCGTGAGAATTTGGACAGATTCTTTTCAAGGCTCCCTGGTGTTCAGGGGTCTATGGGATTGTGTATCCTTTGCCCGAGCCTTGCGTGATTCAAATCCCTGGTTGATTTTGATCGGGGTGTCCAATTCCTTTGAGTGGGCCCATCACTTTTGGAGGGACCCACGGGTTTGCTTAGATCCGCCCTCAACATTACCCCCCAGGTTACCCCCCCAGAAAGGTTCCCTTGGATCCCCGGGCGATCATTCGATCTGAGAACCTCAGATTCGGATAGAGCATCCTGGTTTCATGGTTCGCATTCCCCGTGACCGGCACAGTTTTTGGAGAGTGGCTGAGTAGCATATGGCCGTCTCGTCTGCTTTCGACGCCTTTGTGATTCTGTCCATGGAAACGGCTTCGGTATTGGAGGCTTGGATGGAATGGTTTGATCCGCGTAGTTCAGTCGGCGAACACAGCTTTACAGATTCCCGCTGCCAGTTGGTCCCGCTAGGGTTTATGGCCGTGAGGGCAATACTTCACAGTGTTCAATCTTAGGGCCTCATTTTGGGGATTGAAACTAGGGGAGGGGGAGGGGGATTTGTTTGTTATTTTATGTAGAGGTACACCAACAGCAGCGGGTGCATGATGAACATCTCGGACTTCCCCCTGGACCCAAGTCTTCAAGATGCCTTCCCCCGGCGTCAAGACATCTGCGACCACTACGAGCGCTACGTGGAGTTCTTTGAGCGCCTCGAAGGAACCTCCCAAGGGACGGCGGCTTTCCTTGAGCCAGGTGGCCCCACTTGGCGGATTGGTTTGGGGATTTGAAGCCCTGGCGCTCGCAGAGCAGGGGAAAGCGCCCGGGACCACCAAGCCGCCGAGTCTGCTCGAAGCCACGCGGTTTGGGGGAGCTGACAATTGGGTCATTTGGTACCTTAGAACTTGGATTCCAGGTGTCCACAACATTGCCATAGCTTTTATGCTCAACTTGTTGCCTCGGCATTCTTTATGTTGCCCCTTTCAAGAAGCAACAGTTGGCTGTTGGTACGGGTTCAAGTCCTGGCCCAGAAACTCGCAGCGCCGGTTTCGAGCTGGTGAGTGCGATTTCAGCCACAAACAGCACCAACTGCACTGGGTTTTTTTTTGGTCAGTCCTCTCCGCAAGCAGGTAACCGCACGAAGCCAGCTGATTCTTTCCCACGGGGTTTTGCGTGGACTTGCTTCCTTGGGCTTCTTTTGATCTCGCATCTCAACTCGTCGGCCCTGCTCCCTTTGGATGGTGAGGCCAGTCTGTCTTTTTGGAGCGTCCTCTTTTGGCGCTTTTGCCATAGCTTCTGCTCCAAGGGCATCCCAAACGTGTTCGTTGTTTTATACTGTTTCCAAACGGGGCAACCCAACAACCGCCCCCCCAACCCCCCCCCAATGGGGTTGGGCCCCCCAACAACCACCCCCCCCCCCAAAAAAAAAGAGGAAGACACAAGAAGCAACAGCATAGTTTTCAAGACCTCTTACACTCTTTGCTTTGAGGGTTTTTAAGGAACTCGAAGAAAGACTCAGGCTGGCGCCGTTCCTTCGCTTCGGCTGCGACGTGGTGTCCATTGCCCGCAACGGCAAGGGGGACGGCGCCATGGGGAAGTGGTCGGTGAAGTTCCTGGAAGCAGGGGAAGAGCG